GGGGGGGAGCACCGTTTGCTCTTCGCCTCAACGAGCCTGAAGACGCGCACCGCTGGGCTGTGTCCAGGGACAGCGGCCGATTAAATGCATTTTCCTTTTAATCAAGGTGAGCGCCGGCGTGTTAGCAGCAACAGCTCTCTGTGGTATAGTTAGATTGCGACGGGCGGACCTCTGCAATGGAGCCGCTGACCCATTTTAATGAAACGATTCTGCAATTAGATTCGATGGACTAATGTGTTCTTTCCCGCACTCCCCCCCTGCTGTTTCTGTTATTGCCCTGGTTTGTAGTAACAAGGGGGTCGGAGTGTAATATTTTATATGAGGGGAAGCCAGAAACGTTAATAACGGCGTAGGCACGTAACCCAAAGGGTCCGTTCCCCACGCGCGGCCAGCCCGAAACGCCCCCTCCATTGCCCATTTTTCATTATTGAAACTACCCGGGGTTTCTCGGAGCCATTTGTTATGCCTTAATGCTCATAACCACCCAAAAGTATTTTTAACTTTTCCAGGGCTTTAAAAGTCAATTTCAATCTCAGTGCGTATTTGTCACCGCCAGAAAGACTCAGTAGGAGAGGGGTAACCGAAACAGGCTGCCGCGTCTTCTCTCGGGGGCGGGTTCAGACAGGAGAGATCTCGGGGGACTTGAAAAGGGCCATGAAACTAAATCCCGGGTGAGACAGGTGTTGGGAGAGCGGATGTCGCTGGCCCTTCACCTCCTCCTGCCCGGGTAGTGCTTCTCCCCTCCCCAGGCAGCTCAGAACAAGGACACTTGGTACGTGGTCACGAGAAGCTTTAATAGATCGGGGTGCAGGTGGCAGAAATCCGCAGCGAGGTGATTTTATTACGGATCCTTGCCCTATGGCCACTTTCCAGGAGACAGTGGATGCCATGGGGCTGGGGCAGGTAGGAGCCCACGTTCCCGCTCTACGGATGGATGTGGCTGCGGGGCCAGACTGGGCCGGGCATGGCTGCTGTCACTAGCTGTCTGCATTGCGTCATCCTTCCGGCAACCAGGATGTGGAGCAAAGTCACAGATCCGCCGTTATCTGATGACCATGGACCTGTCAACGCACATTTCCAAAGCTCTCTTCTTCTACCTCGAATGTCCCTAACATGGGCAGGGTGAAAGACAGAAGGAAAGGAGCAGAAAGGGGACCTGGGGGGAGCAGGGGGCCTGCTGGGGTTCATCAGCTTGGAAAGAGAGTTACGTGCACAGGCCAAGGGTCATGTGTCATGAGTGGAATCAGGAGAACATTGCCAGGCACACAGTTATTCACTGGTGGGCGAAGACCAGGGGGACCAGACACCAGTGGCTGGAAAACACCAACTGCTTTAAGGGAGTTAGGGCATCAGGTGGGTCGACAGCCATCCTAGGAAGCTCCCCCTGCCAGAGGCTGTTATGAACGAGGCCATACGCCTGAAAGCAGAGGGAGATGCCAGTGACCACGGCTGGGCACAGCCTGCTCGCAACCGCGGGGCTCAGAATGCCCCCTCCGTTCAGAGGTAAGGGGATTTCTCCAGGCCTGAGGATTTGTTCTGTACCGAGTGGATCTTGGTAGATTCATGCCAAGAGGGGGACCCATTTAAACAGTGCTGCTTGTCTTCTTTTGTAAGTTATTTCTATAAAAAGAAGTCAGCTTCAAAGGGAATGTTAAAAAAAATTTTTTTTTTTTCAACTGTCCATCAATTCAAGTTCAGGTCTTTTTGATTTTATAATTCAAGGCAATGGGATTGTCCATAGCTGGGAAGGCTGAGTATTATAGACATAAAGAAGATTCATGCTGGAGTCAGAGGACCCTGGGCAAGTTAGTTAAGCTCTCTGAGCCTTGATATCCACATCTGTAAAATGAGACAGGGCTGTTGTGAAGACTGAACAAGGTAATGATATAAACAGTTCCGTGCCTGGCCTATAGTAAGCACTGACTACATGGTGAGAGAATTCAGAGAGGTACACAGGACTCTCCGTTACTCAGCCACGAGGGGCAAGCGGCTGAACAGTGACCCGAGAAAGAGGCGACAATGAGAGTCACGCGTCCCCATGGGAGCCCAGAGCCCCTCAGGGCCTAAGCGGGGGTTTGGTTCCCATCATGGCTCTGTCTCGTGGGACAGGACACAGACTCAAAATCATGCACCATCAACACAATCTTCTGGTTACACCGGGTCCAGGATTTATCAAGAAACAAGCCGGATGGGAGGCGCCAAGATCCCTCCCTTCATTGTCAGGGACGGCAGGTGTCTGCACAGCCCCCGTGTGGCCTGGACTAGCTCCATGCAGAGAACCTTTGGCCTCCTTGTTAACTGTCCTTGGAGGGTCAAAGAAACCAGCGCCCCCGAGGAGTGGGGGTCAGGTTCAGACGGAGTCTCCCAGGTTCGGCCCCAAGCCTCAGACTCACACCACTGTCCCCCTTTCTCAGGCGCACGCCCCCTCCCAATGCTTCCAATGCAGACGGTAGGCGGGGCGGGCCCGAGCGCGATGGCCTCTGGGTTAGCTGCGCTTGGGGAAGTGACCTCGGGCTGGGATTCTTCCATGAAACAATGGGGCACACACGCTTTGGGTACAGGGTACAAGATAGAAGGATGGTTTCTGAGCTTGGACCTGTCTGCTTTACCCATCAGCTGGCATCAGACTAGATTTGGGGAATGGCGGCTCCACTCGGGGTAGACATGGATACAAATCTGAGCTGGCCCCCAGAGCCTCTCCATACCCTTCCAGCCTGCACCTGCTCCCTGGAGGGGGCGGCACCAGCGGCTCTCCGAGACTCCCACCCGCGCCCCGAGAGGCTGGCCCCGAGAGGTGGGTCTGGCGGCGGTGGGCGCGGTGCTCCAGAGCAGAGAGGAGGTGTCCAGCGGTGGCGGCGTGGCGGGCCATGCTGCAGGAGAGCGCGGTGCTTTCCGCGGTGCTTGACAGAACCATGTTCCGTTTCCATCGTTCCACCACATGGTTAGATCAAGCACAAAGGAAAGCCCCGCGGCGACCGGTCAGAGTCAAGGTCAGGAAGCAGCGTCAGAGAGAGGACAGGAGCGTTCAGAGGAAGCAGCGTGGAGTGGAAGCCAGAGGAGGCCCCCACTGAGCGTGATTAGTACCAGGAGCGGGGTCCACGGGAGCACTTCCGAAGACAGGAGCCCCCTGCCCCGTGCCCCGCCCCAGGAGAGACACAGGAGGAAGGGAGGCGAGGGTGGGAGACGGCTGGACACCCCACTCAGGAGTATCGGGGCAGAACGGATCCTCGCCGAGAGCGTTAGAGAAGCCAGGTGTCTGGTCACGTCACAGGCCTGAACTGAGCCCCTACACCCCACACGGTCACACTATCTGACCTGACACGACGCTAGACCCGGCAGAGGCATCTTCAGTGTGCTCTGCCCCCGAGGGCCCCTCCCCGCAGCAGAGTGCTTCCCTAACAGCCTGCGCCCCAGCCTCTTGCCAGAGAGACGCCCCACCATTCCTGGGGGTCTAGCAAAGCTGCAATGACCTTCTTCAGAAAAAGCCCTCTCATGTGCCACAGTTCAGGGGTCTCCTCAGTGTCCTTCAAGGTCCCCAGATATCCTCTGGCTGACATATGCTCCTCCCAGATAGCTCAAGGTATCATGGGGGTGGGGGAGAGTAGAATTGAGAAAAAAACACATTTCTAGCAAGGGAGACCGAAGGCGGAGCCAATGGGGCCCTGTGTGGGGGATGGAGACCTACAGTCACAGTGGCCTGAGAACACTGATTTCAGAGGAGGCGACCAGTGCGCCTATGATGGGGGCCTCTTTCGGACTAAGAGAAGAAAAGGGGGGGACACCCGTTCTAGGGTCCTTCTCGATTTCCTGATTTCGTCCACGGCTGTGAATCACGGGAATTGGTAGGTGGGTGTGGCAACAACCAACTATTTCGGATGCCAAGGGCCCAGATGAGAACACCTGGTCTTTCTATCCCTGTCTGCAAGAGATGAGGGGCAGTTTCCATGCACCTGCTGGCTGGGGCCTTCCTCCCAGACCCAGGGCCGGGTGCCTGGGACCCTCCCTGCCCTGCCCTCTGACAGGAGGGACGGGCTCACTGTTCCTCCACAATGTGTCAGTCTCGACAGTGCACAGGTTGTCTGCAGTGGTTGATCAGTTAGCCAAGGTCACTCACTGCACAGCTCTGGGTCTGGCCCCTCTCATCTGACCGACCAGAGTTGGCCATCATAATTCAGACTCAACACTGTGACCCCAAGACATGCAGGGCTCTGTAGGCATTGGGGTTTGGGGATTCGGGGTTCAAGTTTGATCGGGCCCTCAGGACCCCAGCAGGACAATCCAGCCCTCTCATGCCCCTGCCTCCGAGCCTGAAAACCGATGAGGTTTTCCTTCTCTTTGGTTTCTGCAACAAAAGCAAGGGGAGGGATTGGGGAGAAAGTTATCAAGAATCTCCACAGGACGTCAGAAGCCCTGGGTTTTGGATCTCGTCCTGAAAATACTACTCCGACACCTCTCCTCTGCGTGGGCTCCACTTCTCCCTCTCTGTTGTGGCCTCGGCGGTCCCCGAGGGCTCTAAAACTCTAGTTCCCTGAGCGGTGTCTGGCTGTCTTCTATCTTTGGACATATGATATCCCCACCCTCTGGACTTCTCACCATGAGTTTCCTCTTGGTGATGGGATGTCCACACACAAAGCAGGGAGGCAGGGTGGGAAATGGCATCTTCCAACTGCTGAATGCCCCCCCCCCCACCGGGGCTGGGCTTGGGATCCCAGGCAGCCAGACGGTGCCTTTTCAGGAAGACTTAATCGAATGGTCTGATCACCCCAGCTGGCAGCCTTCACCTCTAACCTGATCTTGCTGCCCAGGGAGGTGGGTGCAGCTGATGGAGGCAGACGCGGGGCAGCTGGGAAACCAGACGCCCAGCCCACGGAGGGGCTTTGTGTGTTGCAGGAGCAGCCCTCAAATTGGCTCCTAATCACATCAGCTGTCTCGGCAATGGGGGGCTTTTAGGGGAAAGTAAAACTCAGAGTTATTATCTGTCAAGTCCACTGCATGTCACCTGCCCCTCCTCCTTCCTTCTGGAGCTTCCTGGAAACAGAGCTTTAGATCTGTGGCTTCTGTCTCCCCCAAGGCCAAGGCCTGTGTGGGCCCTGGCGTCTCTCAAGGCCAAGGCCTTCGGCGCTCAGCAGCAGCTCTCTCTACTTCTGTTCTCTGCAGCTCCAGAAAATAAAGACATGTGGAATGCTATAGTTAGGTTCATGTAGCCCTAAATTTCTCTGCTTTTATAGCAATAATATTTCTGCTCAGTATTGATTAAAAAATCACATATCTAGAGAAGGTCAATCCAGGAACCCCACCTCTCTCCTTTGTTTCTTTCTGTATTTCCAACCATTCCTACCCCACATAGGAAAAGCAGCCGGGATCCCCCCGGGGCAGAGGCAGGTAGGTCAGGGCAAAGCTAGAGACAGAACTAGGCTCTACTGTCCTGTGTCCTGGATCCACTTGCTACCTCTCTTTCTGCTGCTTGCCCCCCACCCCAGTCCCAGCCTACAGTCATTCCTAGGCAATTGCCAAGACTGTGTCCCTGGGAGACGCCAGTCCTCAGACCCTGCCCCCCAGAACCTTGGCATCAATCTGTGGTGGCCCAGCACCATAACAGGACCTCTGTGAGACTGAGGGGTCGGGGTTGGCAGGTGGCACCCTGCCTTCCTCTACCTCTCATTGCTCCTCTTCTTGGGCATAACTGCCTGTCAGAGCTAATGACCTTGGTCATGGCCAGATGGGGGTGGGAACAGAGGGGACAGGTGTAAGTCATGAGAAAAGGCTCCTGGGAAAGGGTGGCTGTGCCTCAGGTGACAGCTCCGGGCTGGGGGAGGAACTACAGGACAGAGTGCAGTGCTGGGGTGGGGGCAGGGAGGGGTCATTAGATTGGGAGAGAAAGTCGTTCAAGCATCTGGGCTTCCTTTCCAAATGCTCCTTCTCTCCCAGATGCTGGGAGGAGCGAGCAGGACCCGGGATCTGGCCCTGCCTCCACCGTTGCTGGCTGTGACCTTGGGGTGCCCCTTCCCCTCTGAGCCCTCGACCCCCTCTGCTGCAGAGGGGACAAGTCCTGCCGACCTCACAGGACTATGGGTAGAACCAAAGTAAAGCGGAAGCACTCAGCACAGTGCTCACCTTGGGTGGGTGAGAAACTGCCCTCAAAAGGGACATGGTTATTCTGGGGCATAACTGAGGCCAACTGGGAGCGACATCTCAGTGCCACCAACTCCCTGTGTTATTCCCAAGCAAGTCCTGCAAGCAGCCGAGGCCTGCCCGTGGCCCTCTCCCGGCCACCAGTGCCCACGCTCTGGGGCGCTCTGGGCGGGAGGAGAGAGGCTCTTGCTGACACGCAGATTGTGAGGTTGGCTGCAGCCATCTTCAGCCCGTTGTGCTATCAATCTGTTACCATTGGGAGCCCAGCGCAGCTTGGAGAGTTTTTTTTCCAGGAGCAAATGACACAAATGACAGTCATTTTTAACTGCCTGTTCACCTAGCTGTTGGGTCAAGGAGATCAACTTCCCTCCCCAAGAAGAGCTGAGAATCCCTCTGCCATTCAGCCTGGGTGGGGAGTGGGGTGGGAGAGAGGGCCTGGGGACTGGAGGGCAAGGCCTGGCTGTTCTCGCTGGTAATGAGAGCGCGCCAGTCTGGGGCGGGGGAGAGAGCTGGTGAAAACGTCTGCGAAGCCTGTAATACACTGTGGTCCGAGGGCTGCACCCAGGTGGTCTTCGAGGGGATAAGAGGCCCCACGATTACATCCACCTGCAGCCTGGCCTGCGGAACGTTTCTCTACCTGCCACTTGGGGAGCACGCTTTAGAAACGAAAAAAAAAAAAAAAAAAGGCTTAAAAAGCCTGCCCCAGCCTCTAGCTTCCACCTGGCCCTGGAGATTTGCTGCCGCCTGGGCTCTGTCTCTCTTGAATCCACACATCCCCCCTACGCCATGATTTTACTGTGCGCGTGTGTGTGTTTTAGTTTAAATCCATAAGGTAATTGGTTTTCTGCAGGACTAACTGAATTTCCCCAATTTAATTTGCAAAGATGCTCCCCAGGAGCCATTACAGCGAGCGCTGTCCTCCAGATTGGATTACTGGCCTCTCCAGGGCTGCTGTGCTCAGAGTGGGAAAGCGGGGCCCAGCCCGTAACCTGATTACCTGAGCAGCGGAACTTCTTGCTCTTGACCTGGCTGATGCGCTTGTTGGCCAGCCGCCGCGGGCTGCTGCAGCGGGCCCCGCTGGTCTCGATGGGGTTGTCCTGCAGGTAGTCGGCCAGCCACTTCAAGTGGCAGTCGCACACAAATGGGTTTTGGGCTAAGTGGCTGGGAGAGGGAGGGGAGTTAATCAGAAGTGACCCCTGGAGCCCGCTCCACCCCCACCCCACCTGGTGCTGGGCACCGGATCCCACCCTTATCACCCCAGGAGGCCTCAGGGGATGTGGCTGCTTTTAGAGAGGACCAGAGAGGGGCCTGAGGCCTGCTGTCTGCAAAACACAGTCACAGGTGCAGCTGGCAGAGCTCTGGGGACGTGGCCTCTCCTACTCGGGCAGGACCCACCCGTGATCCCCTCAACTCTCACCCATGTCAATTCTGAGGGGCAGAGCAGGCTGCAGGCCTAGGGTGTAAGCTTAGAGAAGACTGTGTTTTATTTCTCGAGCTCAGTCACACCAGGCGCGTGAAGCAGCTGGCAAGGCGACTGGCACGTGGTGGGTGTTCCATATATAGCAGCGGTGCTGTTGTTACTATCCTCAGCGTCGTGAGAGCAGCGCCGTGGGTCCGCTCTCCTTGCTCAGTAAGAAAACCCGGCAAAGCTGCACACAATGCCTGGCTCGAGGTAGGGGGTCATTAGGCAGCAGCTGTTTTTGCTCTTTATTGGCTCTTGTCTCTTGCTACGGGCCTGTAAGTGCCCGATGACTCAGATTCTCCAGAGGCCCCTGGGCTCTGGTCAGGCCACTGTTAGGGTGAGGCTCTTAGCCTGGGGCTAGAGCCATCAGAAACATGGCCTGAGACGTGTACTCAGTGGCCAGCTACCTAATGGGGCTATTTATGAACATCTGCAGAGCTCAGGAGTGAAGAACTGCTCCCTAAGGAGGGAGGTTAGGGTGTCTGTGTCAGAGGGTGGTGGGGTGGGGTCAGTAACGGTGGATCATCTGCAGAGATGGAACCCGTTCAGAATACAGCGGTTGCAGTGATGAAGAGAGCAGCTGAGCACCAACTCTGCCTGGATTTAGAATGCAGAGATTCCAGGATCCTGATTCTTACTAGCTGTGCAACCTTGAGTAAGTTACCTAACCTCTCTGAGCCTTGGTTTCCTCACACAGAACTAGGGGATCATAACAGCACCCACCACATAGGGTTGTTATGAGGCTTAAAGGTTTGCATCCAGGGGAAGTACTGAGTGTGGTTCCTGCACAGTGTGAGCTCAGAACAGGTAGGCCGGCACTAGCCCTCTTGTCCCATTGTCATGGCAGCCTCTAGAGCTCCTCCTGGCCATGCTCACTTTGCCCTCACTTTGGGGTTCTCCGAGGCTAGGTGCTGGGGGTTGCCTGCTGCCTGGGCATACTCACAGAGTCTGGATGGCCTGCAGAGGGGCAAAGAGCCCCTTGCTGATGGTCTGTAGCTTGTTGTCGTAGAGGGAGAGCAGGTTGAGGTTCTGCAGGTCCTGGAATGTGTTCACCCGCAGGCAGTTGATCTTGTTGGCATTGAGGAGGCTGCAAGCACAAGAGAGGCTGGTGACGCACTGGTCCTGGTCATCCGCCGTGGGCCCAGGGCTGCACCTGCAGGGAACAGGCCACAGAGCCCCCGGCGCTCTCCTCGAAGCCTGGGGCTCCTGCTGCTGAGCAGAGAGAGACAGGGACTTGCATTCCTGTGGCCACGGAGATGGAGAAGATGCCTGGGCACCAGCGTGTCAGGCACCGTGGGTGCCGTGCGGCACTCTGCCACTATCCAGAGCCTTCCCTCAAACCCATGCTTGGGAGGAGGACCGGAGACGGCACCCGCACGTGTCGCTTTCTGCTTTAGAATGCAGAGATTCCAGGAATAAAAAAAAATTTGGCACAACTGTTTTTAAGCTTTAGTTGATTGACCAAAGACCAATTTTGATTCAAAAAAGTCCCTAAAGTTCTTTTGGATCACTTGTTCCGCTGGTAATCTTATGACAGTTACAGATCATCCTCTCAGAAGACATCCCCCCACAGGTGGGCTTGCGTGCATGCGTATATGTAGCCTTCCCCCC